GGCCGCAGGACTTTCTGGATTTGACAGATTTGAGAAGACTCTTAACCTCCCCGATTGAACACAGTTCAGGGCCTGGCTCTCCGAGTGGAAGAGGGAACATGTAGAGCGGCTCCCCTTGACACCACGCTTCAGAGAAGTGCTGGCTGATCGTTTCCGCCACCTGTCCCGGTGGGGTCCCGTCCATGGACGCAGGGAGTCGTGACTTCTGCGATCTACCCATCTCCCGATTAATACACGACCACCATCTACGTGGGTTTTCCTGTTTTAGCTGTTGTATGCAGTTACGATAATGCCAGCCTTTGGCTTGCTGGATCACCGTGCTCATGTTTTGCCCCCAACAGTTGAGGAAAGTCCTTTTCTTCCTAGTTGTTACAGTTTTCCCCTCTATCATTGCAGTGGTTTGATTAAAAGTTCAAAATTCAATGTTTAAATTCTAACCCAGCCTTTTGTGTTGACTTCATGGCTCATTACATAGCATTTAAGCCTATAATAGGATGCCTAGACCTGTTTTTATTTTTATTTTTTTTCGCCCTGTCGCTTCATATTTTTTCTGAAAAAATCCGAGAACCAACAAATTAAATCGGTGTTGCCTAGGTCTAGTGAAGTGAAACACATCCAACCTTGAGCAGATTGTTTTTGCCTTTGTGAATTGTGTCTCTGGAAGCACAAGCAACTGGCTAGATTTGTAAAACTGTTACTAATAGACGTTTCAAGTAGCGTCCACTACTTTTCGTCAGTGACTAATGGAATCTATAGTTGAAAAGGTATTTATTCCAAAACTATGAATTAAACCTGTTCAGCTTTAGATTTCATTAGTCACTGACGAAAATTAGTGGATGCTAGTTAGTTAGTTAAAATGTCTTGGTTAAATCTAAAATCTATCCTGTTTCTTGAGTAACTGTTTCCATGTGTATCTCATTAACCTGAATGTCTAACCTTAATCAGCATTTCTCTTGTAATTCACTATGTGTGGCTTTAAAAGCTGTTTTGTAGAAACATCCACAAAATGGGTACATTGTACATGTTGGGCTTTTAAAAAGTTTTTTGTTTGTACTTAATCATGTACTGTACTTTTCATTCCCACAGGGAGTCCTCCCTCCAAGGTATATGGACAGATGAGAGCTGTTGCAGCGAGATCTGCAGAAAGATTCTGATGAAACGATGCACCACGTACACAGAAACCTTCAACCAATGTATAGTCACATCGTTCTGGGTACTCACTCCCAGTTTGGATCAACGTCAAGATTCTGCCAGGAAACAGCTGCTCTCGGACAAATGAAATGCTCTCGGACAAATAGAAGGCCTGTGAATTGTTTCTAAGGCCACACCAATTTAATTTCTTGGTTAACGGATTCGCCCGCTTCATTTTTTCTGATTTGCAAATAAAAATAAAATCCAGAATCAACTGCAAAATGCTCATATTTTGCCCTGAACAGTTGAAAACAGTCCTTTTCATCCTAGTTGTTACAGTTATTCCATCTTTCAATGCAATGGTTCAAAATTCATTGTTTAAATTTTGAACCAGCCTGGTGTGTTGACTTCATGGCTCCTATCGTACCATTTTGGGACATAATAGGATGCCTAGGCCTTTTTTATTTTTTTTCGCCCGCCCGCTCCATTATTTTCCTAGAAAAATCTGTTAACCAAGAAATTAAATTGGTGTGGCCTAAGTACACAAGCATCTGATAGGCAATGATTAGAAAATTGTAACTCAAAGCCAAAGGAATGTGTCTAAATCTACTGCTGTTTGTTACTGAAAGCTTGAACCAAGTTTGGTCAGCATCCATCCATCGTGTGGATACTTGTATGCACCAAGTTTGATGCAAAGTATTCTGGAATTGACTGAACCCCCCACAGTTACAAAATATGCAAGCTGTGGCCATGTACATGTATGGCCAAAGATGTTCATGTAAATACAGTAACATGTATTGAAGGGTATAACATAAATTATGCATACTCTATGGTCATATTGTTGTTATTTTTTGAAGAAACAAGAATGATGCACA